CGGCCGCGCTGCCCGCGGGAGCTCAGCTCCGGCAGGGAATGAGGGGAGGCAGGAACGGGAAGGACTCGGGAGGATATCGCTGTTCCCTGTGTTTCGGAGCACTGTGCCTGTTGCCAAGGACTGTTCTAGAAAGCTCCTTGGGCTGTAATCTGCTGCAAGGAGAGAGCTGGAGATCAAATTTGTGTTAAAAAATCTATTTCCAGCTTGCTCCGCAAAGCGGAGAGCTGCAGAGCAGGTCCCGTGTTGGCACCAGCAGGAGCGGGAATGTAAAATCCATCTGGGATGTGGCGCCGTTTCCACGGCCCCTGTGTGGGCAGGAAGCGGCCGGCAGCAGGGGAGCGGGAAGGCTTGCCAAGGACTGTTCTAGAAAGCTCCTTACCGCGTTCCGTCCCGCGGGCGGCCACGGGGCTTGGGAGGAGGCAGAGGGACGGCCCCGCTGCGCTACCTGCCCCACTGGGCTACCTGCCCCACTGGGGTACCTGCCTCACTGGGGTACCTGCCCCACTGGGGTACCTGCCCCACTGCAGGGCCAGCCCCATTGCGGTCCCTGCCCCGCTGCGGTCCCTGCCCCACTGCAGGGCCAGCCCCGCTCTGCCCCCAGCCCCACCGCGGTACGAGCCCCGCTCCGGTACCAGCCCCGCTCTGGTATCAGCCCTCTGGTGAAGGGGAGGCCCGATTTACCAGTTAACCCAGGAGTGTCTGGGGACGTGAGCGGGACAGAAGCGGCATTTGTCATGGTCTTGGGTTCGCTATGGCTTCTCCAGCAGGTCTTCGTGCTTGTTCGTGAGCGCTGCCCTGGGTCTGCGTGCGGCGCGCGGTGTTCCAGGAGACACCAGGTAATGGCAGCGCTGGGTTGTCGCTGCGAGAAAGCGAGTGCCGAGCCCTGGGGCTCCTTTCTGTGCACTCAGGCAACTGTTCCTTTTGACCAGGACCAAGTGTTTCAGACGCGACCAGTGAATGAAATTCTTCGGCACTCATTTGGAAAAAGGCTTCCATTGACTTCAGTTGTCCTGGAAGGAAAGTGGGTGCCCCGTGGCGGCGGCGCTCACGCTCTGTCCCTCTCTCCCTGTGTTGCACGCAGAGATCCGCAGCGAGCTCGTGGAGCAGTTCAAATGCCTGGAGCAGCAGTCGGACACGCGGCTGCAGCTGCTGCAGGACCTGCAGGAGTTCTTCCGCCGGAAAGCCGAGATCGAGCTGGAGTACTCGCGGAGCCTGGAGAAGCTGGCGGAGCGCTTCTCCTCCAAGATCCGCAGCTCCAGGGAGCACCAGTTCAAGTAAGCGCCGTCCCGCGCCAAACGGGGCCTTTCCGGCTCCTCGCTGGAGCTTTTATCCTTCTCTTTCCTCTCTGCCCTCTCTTCCCTGCTCCTCACTGCCCCTGCTCCAGCC